AGACGATTAAAAATATATTATAGTAACAATAAAAAAGTCGGTACAAAGAACTTATAATAATAGCATGGACATACTAACAGTTAAGTTTACCTAAATGTGCATTTTCTTTTAAAAAAAGGTTTTAATGCATTATTTCATCAAAATTAATTTAATTATTGTTAGAATTTAATTATTGTTAGAAGTAATTATTTCCATAAACATGATTATCCCATCAAAAAATACATAAAGGATAGAGCCCTGAAATGATTTGAGAAATCTGACAGACTTACCAACACCGCGATATCAAATCTCAGAACGGTTACAGGCTCCTCGGGGAGGTATGCAGATCTGAGGTCAATTATTACTTAGTCTGATGAGGTGATAAACAATAATCTAGTCAAGGCACAAAGAGGGGTTTTGAAGAAACCTCGCAGTTAATAGAGAGTAAAAGTGCTCAGGTGCACTGACTCAACTAGCCTTAACATAATAATGATTATCATTGTGAAATAGTTTTCTATTTAACTTTTTACTTAAGCTAATGATGATTTAACATTAGACAGTAAACATTAAAGTCATCAAGAAGAAGAATTCACATTTTTTGAACTATTCTTTCTACTAAGGTATACATCAATAAAACTGGGTTCTCCAAATATATGATTCAAAATATATATAATAAAAAAAAAACTACAAACACTATCTAGCGACAAGTAGTACAAGTAAATGACGATTAACATCAAGTAGACGTTTATTAATATTGAAGTTGTTTATGTTAAAAGTTGGAATTTTAATGTCTAATATCTTAAGAACTTAGCTATATTGGCATATAGTATAGTGAAGAAGGAAAGTGATTCAGTTTTATTTCCTCAAAACGGTGTCTGCGGAGCTGTCTTTGGAGCATTATTTGGAGCTTAGCAGATAGTCAGAAATCACATGAAACTATCAGTCAAATATGATGGTTGTGGAACGATGTAAATTGAATCTTTCGCAAAATGTGTGGTCTCTCAAACCTAATGCCGTGTGAAATGCTGCATTATCATTATGCATAAATTAGAAATTGTCTGTCCATTATTTTGGCTTCTTTTTGCAAATAGATTTACGAAAACGTTGTATAACGTTCAAATAATATTCCTAGTCAATATTTTGGCCCGACAAAGAGATTTCATGTGACTTTAATTTTGAAATGACTTTAACGAGATCTCTTCTATATATTATATCAATATTTACTAATCAATAGTGGCAATAATTGTTAAGGCTTTCAAAAACTAAACACTGGCATAGCATTTCATTATTACCATTATGTGCCATCATAGGCATTTTTTTTATCAAAACGCGTTATAAGATATATTAATAACCTCAATTTATATAGGTTGCTTCGCAGACTTTATCTGGAAAGGACACAATAGAACAAATAGGTGACGAATTACAATTGTAATAACTATAGTTATTGTATTACTTTATGACATCGTTATGTTAGCCCACCCCTCCCTTTCCTTATAGGTTTTTGAATCACAGAAACCATTTTGTAAGATTTAGCAATAGCCGTAGTTTATACAGGCTGCCTATAAAACATTTTTAGGAATATATTATATATCTAATAAGTGCCGAAATTCATTTTTTTATAATATCAGTAACTATATTTGTTATATATTGACTTTTTATGATTAATATTTATTTTTATTTAATACTAAATTCGATTTTTTATTTTTCTATTAATAAAATGTAATTTAATATTAGTCATCTTTTAATTTTGACGTCAACTGTGGAAGGACGTAAAATCGTACAAGTCATTCCCTTGCCCCAAACTACACGATGCTATTTGTCGTCTGGCCAACAAACGCATAAAAGTGTCTGGCAAAAATCAATATTTGCAAACAAAGAACATAGCCAAAGACAAAGACAAAGACAAAGACAAAGAAAGCGTGTAAAAACAAAAAGATGAAGTAAATAAGCGTGAAGTAAATTATTTACCATTCTAAAGAATTTTCTAAAGGATATTCTAAAGGATTTAGGAAAGCCGAAAAAATATATTTTATTAATGGTTATTTGCTTACCTTGTAGTGCTCCTGCTCTCTTCCGCTCTTTTAATATTTTTTGTAACAATTTCTTTGTTTAAAGTTTTCTATTCCAATTATAGGAACCGTTATAATAAAATAAAATCAATATTATTTTTTTATCACACATGTTTGTTGTTGTGTTGTTCACAAAGTACATAACAGTTTGGAAACAGAGAAAAATGTATTTTCTTACAATTTTCAACGAAAATAATTAAAATTTTTGTTTTTTTCGTTTTAACATTTAAGAAGTTTAAGCTATTCTTCGATTTGAAATTGTCGTTTTTAAATAAAACACAATTATAAACGCAATTTTCGACCGAAAATCTGATACTCCGAAAACAGTTAACCAAAGATGGAAATTTTGAAATAAAATTTACACAATAAGTCGAAAAAAAATCCTTTTGAACTTAAAATATCAATAAAATTGTTTAGTGAATTTTTCGTTTGGGATTACTGCATCCAGTTTTCGGTTGTTTAAAACACAATAGTATTTTCACAGAATTGATTTAACTTTATTAAAAAATTTTCTTTGATATTGCAAAGTCTATGCAGACACGTCCGCCAGAGAGTGGCGTCCGGTAATTAAAAGAAAACTAAATATTTATAAATTTATTCAAACGTCCTTTAGACTCGATGGTCGAAATGAAATTGATACTTATATCCACCGTTTCTATGGAAAATAGCATATTTTAATTTGAGTTACTTTGCAGCGGCATTTGGCGCATGCGCTAGTGGGAGGCATTGCTGTGCAACGGCATAACGACAGCGATTGGTACTGTGGTACATCGTAATTTGAATATCTCTGACACCTTGAAGAATTAAAACATTCATGTCATTTACGTCCTATAAATGCAATTGCTAACTACACCACTGGTTTTAATAAAGTGGAATTGCTCTATTCCACCTCAAGGCAGTAAGAGATGTGATACCGTAACAAAAACAATGCATACTACATTTAAAATTACTAACAAAATATTTAGGAAACTATTAGAATAGTTGTCTATTAAAAAAACCATGTGGCCATGGGCCAATAATACCGTTCAAGGAAAATCCATTTGAGTAGTAAAGCTACGCCTGACGTGCATAGTGTATAGTGCATAGTGTATAGTGCACAGAGTATAGTGCATAGTAAAGTAAAATTAACCTAATTGTACACGTTCTAGTTGAGGAGTGAGGAAGGAAGTGAATGATTGTATGCAATTTACGATAAAAATGCAGGCAAACAATTTTCTAAGAAAACTGTTAAGAAAAGCCCCATAAGTTGCAAACGTCATATTTATTTAAAATGAAAGTGGTAAGTAGGTTAAATATGGTAGCAATACCTACATATGCACACTAATTTTATGAAGGACTTCGATACATTCTTTTGATCAAATATGAAGTCAGTAAAAGAGTTGTAAATATAAGATCCATAAGCATAAAAAACATCCTCACATTCTTGAATGTAAAAATATCCTTCTTAAAAAAACATCAATACATCAACATCAATGGTGGGCAAGCGATTCACATGGCTTAAACATGTTCCACTGAAAAGAATTAGGTGTACCAAAATTCTTCATCGCCTCCAACCGCTATGCAAAAATGAAAATCTGAATGCTAAGAACAGAAAGCTGATATACCTATAACCAAATAATTCGACAGTCACTTCTATATGGATGTGTAGCGTTCAGCAAGGCCTCAAATACTACTATTCGCCAGTTAGAATTGCAGAAATCCAGACTCTGATAAGACTTTTCAAGGTACCATGGTACATTAGGACGAATGACATACTCGGGGACCTCAAGACTGACCCGATCAAAAAATACATTAGGATAGAGCCCTAAAATAATTTATGAGGTCAGTTATTGCTTAGTCTGATGAAGTGATATACAATAATCCAATCAAGGCCTAAAGAGAGGTTAAGAATTCGCAGTTAATAGATAGTAAAAGTGCTCAAGTGCACTGACTCAACTAGCCTCAAAATAATGATAAACTCAAACATCAACATTAAAATTTTAGAAAGTCATCAACATACTAGATTCGGGTTTTTTTTTAATCGAAACTCTGTAAGGTATTTTAGAAACTTGTTTTTAATAAGAAATGATTAATAAGTACAATTTAAAGCTACCAAAACATTTTTTTATATTAAGTTTATTATTATTATATGTTAGATGAACAATGTACTTCGGAACTCACATTTTTGGCAGATAAGTGGGTACTATTAAGATCACAATGTTTCTACTCCTGAGCGACTCTCCGCCTCTATTGTACTTTTTTATTATTTTAATAATTTCTATGCAATTATTAATAATTAATTATAATATTTTATGATTTTTATTTTGTGAAAATCTTACAATATTTAAAGATCGATTGGATTTAAGTTTATGTGAGCGTTGGGGTAGAAAACAGATAGAGTACATCAGCAGATGGGTAGAACAGCAGTTAGGATTTAATGGAATTAACTGTTAAGCACTTTGAACTCAATTGAACTACAATGGTTTCTATCGCATGGAAAAGGATTTATTCTTTCTGCGAGTTATTAGGCGGGGGCCTATTGAGAACTTTTTTACAGTACAACCATATTTGTATTTTTCAGTATACGAAAAATATTCTTTTTTCTTTTAATAATTTATTTTTATTATTATTATATTATTATTAGCGGCAAGGAATGTTGTGGTTTCACCATTCGCAAGAATACCAGTGTGAAAATATACCTAGCCACTTCTAGATATATAAGTTAATATTCATTGTGTGTATATTTCTGCCTTCGTTTCATACTACATGTTCTACTATATGCAAATATTTTAGTATTAAAGTAAGCTAAATTAAGTGAGACGATTACATTAAGCTGGATTAGATAACATCACCTACATTCGTAAACAACTCTTGCCAGAAGGTGACAAGATACACTAACTATTATTTTCAATACGACTTAAAACACAATTTTTATGAATTTTATTTTTATTACACAATCATCAACATAATCATTAGAAAATAAAATAAATTACAATTAAACAGGATAGTTCAGCTTATTTTCATGTGGACAGGGTAGTAATGGTTCTAGGCATTTACAATAACCAAGTTCTGTGTTGAAATATTCATTAAAATCATCGTTCTTCTGAAGTAATATCTTATGTTTTGCTAAGCACTCCAAACGTTCTGGATCCATTTGATGTGTACTCACTTGTAACTTTAGTGTCCGTGCATAAAAGAATCTGAAAATATGATCGACCACCTCAACGAAATACGCAATTGGCTTATGTATATGATCGCCTTCGATAAATGGACTTTTTGTATCCAAATTTAAGCACCCATATAAATCAGTAAATTCAAGACATAAAGTTCTCAAATTCTTGATAGATTGCATCAAACGACAACTTAAAATGGTAAAGTATATTGGTTTCATTAGTTATAATTATCGATAAATATATACTTGTAAATTTACCAGGAAGTACGTAATTTTTCTAAACATTTACTGTATTCATCCATTCCGTCGTCTGTAGTATCGGCATATACAGCAGTTATATCACAACATGGGCCATTTCTAAAATTTTTATATATTTTAGTAGGTACAATTATGTTAAAGATGTCATGATTAATGTTTACTTGTTGGCTTCAAGAAATTCCTTTGTTATACCCGACATGATAGTTAACATACTATCCTGAAATTGCATTTCCTTTAAATGCATAGCATAATGATCTCTATAATCCCTTTCCAGTTGCAATAGTTTTTTCAATATCTGTTCCTCTAATTCGAAATGTTTTCTTATAGCCTCTTCAGCTAAAGCTGCCACGTCCACTATCTCAGAATTTTCTTCTGGGTCTACCATAATTGTCAAACTTGTTAAAATCTAAGACAAATAAAATTATATTAAAATTAAAACTATTATATTTGTATAAAAAATAACATAGTAATATAATATAGTTCCTCAATACCTTTAGAAGATTGTTGAAATGCCTTTCAGGCGATCCCTAAATTTAGTTAAATTTCTTAAATACCCGGATTTATGGTACCGATGAATCTGCAATATGAAGAAGTATAAGCTCAAGATTTTTATAATCTAATAAATAAAATATACTGCAATTTTGTTTATATATTAAGTTTTTACTATTGAATATATTTATATTTGAAAAAATAAAAGCTAAACATTTTTTTTATTTAATTATTGCTTTTTTATTAATATATAAACGATTTGAAAACTTATATTAAGCTACTAGATTGAGTATTTAAACTAAAACAGTTGTACTTAATTTATTTGGATATATAGGGAACCTATATATAACACTCTAGATATTAATATGATTTGACCAATAAAGTGTAATTTGATTTAATATATATATTTGTGTAAAATGTTAATATTTACTAATACGACTAAAAAAAATGTTTGATTAGATGACAAAATTTGTTAGATCGAGAGTAAATCTAGATTGAACGTCATTAGTTCTTACTCATTCTCTCTCTCTCTCTCTCTCTCTCTCTCTATCTCTCTCTTGGTGTGAGTAACTGAAATATATATTATAATAACATATTAAATGATTTGAACATGAAAATAAGCAGCAGAAACGAAGTAATGAAAAGCAAATAGTTTACGCTGTTAAATTCAAGTTCCTGCGTTGTCAGACAAGCCCTCAAATGCAATTCTCAGATTAGTCATCGTTCAGAAGTACCGAACATATAATCGAATGCTACTCTTAGAACGAAATCAGGCATATAGCTTCAGATAGCATACGAATTTAGGGAGTATTTGAGGCTCACCATGGCAGAATATATTAAAAAAGAGGAATATACCTAAACAGTAAGTTAAATAGCATTTCGATCTAAAAAATATATCCACATCTAATATACAACTTTACAACTAATTAATAAACATTGTTCTATTCTCTTTTAGATGGTAATGTAACTTAAAGAAAGTTTAATAATGGCTCATTGTGCAACAGGTAAACACTTCCCAGATTTAATCTTCTGAGATCATAAAAGTGTAAGTTAAGTATGAAGCTTATCCTTAATATCAATGATTTGAGAAGTTTTTAAATATATACGTTTTAGGGAACGTAAGGAAGAAAGTTAGGGAATCCTAACATCATAACTTACTTGATTTGAGTAAAATATACTTACTTGAATTGAGATCCAATAGAGCGTTTTACAAATAATATAACTATGATAAAAAAAAAAAATATTTTAATTTTTTTAAATAAGGTCGAATGACATTAAAATTTTACCTAACAGCTGTCAAATAAATTCTTACAATTTTTTTATTATTTAATTTTCGGAATGTAAATTAAAAAGTTGCTTTAAATGTGTCCTGCATTTAGAAACCTTCTAAAAGATGCTAAATTCGTAAGATGCAATTTCGTGCTTTATGCCTTCACGTAGTACTGTTCACTTTAATAATAATCACGTGGGTTACGAAAAATCACATCTCTGAAGCCGTTTTATTTGAAGGTAATAGAAATTCTTTTTATTTTCTTGAACCATTCGACCAAGATTTAAGTTTCTATGGTGATGGGATGGAAGAACTAAATGGAAATGATTTATCTGCTAGTGAATCTGAAAATGAAAATAGAGATACACCTATATTAGCGATGGAAGACAAAAATGGTCTTAATAGTGATGTAGAAAAGAGAGAAGAAAATGAGATATTGCCACCAATTCAAATCGATTTACAAGAGCTTCAACATAACGATGGTAGTGCGATAGCCAAAGAAGCTCGGGAAGCTTCGGAACGTTTATCAAATATAATCAAAACATTAAAAGAACATGCAACGAGTGTCTTAAAAGATATCGAGGACTTAGAGAAGGAATTGGGTAACGATAGTGGAGGTGGGGGTGGTGGTGGTGGTAGTAGTAGTGGTGGTGGTGGTGGTGGTGGTAGTAGTGGTGGTGGTGGTGGTGGTGGTAGTAGTGATGGTGGTGGTGGTGGTAGTAGTAGTGGTTGTGGCGGTGGCGGTGGCGGCACAAGTGGTGGAGGTGGTAGTGGAGGTGGGGGTGGCGGTGGCGGCGGAAGCGGTGGAGGTGGTGCAGATAATACTCCAAGTGGTGGAAGTGGAGCACCTGATGGTAGTAATGAAGCTAACACAAAGGTGGTAGTTTGCAGTGGTAGTAAGACGGGAGATAATACGAACACAGGTAATGGAAGTGGTGGTTCAAATAACAATGGAACTGAACCCACACAGGAGCCGAATAGTGGTGGCAATCCAGATAGTGGTAAACAAAGTAATCCACCACAAGGTAAACCATGCCCATCAGGTTATGTGCCAAAACATGTGCAAACGCCACAACAACCGTTCATTATAAATGAATGGGGTGCACCGGTTAAAGGCGATTATGATGCCATATACCAAGCGCGTAATGATTTTATGCAACAGGCACAAGAAGCCGTTTCACAATGGAGAGATCAAATCGAAAGTTGTAAACATGTACTTGATGAAGCGGTTGCTCAAGCTGCTCAAAATGAACATGACACACAAATGGCAAATGTAGCTGTTACTAGAGCATTGGATGATAGTAAATCAGATATGAGAGTTACGGATAGTTCAAATAATCAATATGGGGGTAACTTCAACGATGCAGCACCGCCTGCTGCATGCTGCCTCTCAACTCTTCAAAATGGCAAATCTAACGTAGGAAGTATAGTTAATGCTAATGGCATAAGTGGAGCAACAAGTTCTGGAGGTTGCCATCATAAACCACCAGTTAACTCGAACAATAATAATAATAACAATGCCAATAATAACAATAATAATAGTGCCAATAACAATAATGCTAATAATAATAATAATAATTATAATAATAATGGAAATGGTAATAACAATAATGGAAACAATAGTAATAGAAACAATAGTAATGGAAACAATAATAATGGGAACAATAATAATGGAAACAATAATAATGGAAACAATAATAATGGAAACAATAACAATGGGAACAATAATAATGCGAACACTAATAACAATGCCGACAAAAAAACGAGCCTAAAAAAACCCCGATCTTATAGATTAAGAAAACGATATGGAAACTATGATCGTTTACTTGAGAAAAATTCTAATCTCTTAGGTTCTATTTTTTAATATTTTTGCAATATATTTTTACTATTACTGTATATATGTATGTATATTTTTTGAGTTTTTAATTATGGATATGTTTAAATATATATTTGCTGTTTATTTTGAAGTTATAATTATAAACAATCACAGGAGTTTTATTTTTGATTGCAAATAATAACAGTTATTTTTACGTTTTTCATCTTAAAGGCACGAATAATAATTATTAAATAAAATAAAAATCTGAATGTACGAGATATCTATGCGTGATTAATTAAAACGCAAATAATAATTATTTTTAAAAAACATTACATATAGCAGATTTAATTATTATTTTTTGAGTTTCATTTTAAAAGGTGAAATATACCATATAGTAGGTAAAAGGTGAATATATACAAAGTATGCATTATATGCAAGGAGATTATTGTTAAAATTATAATTATTTACTTAAATACGAATTGAGACTACTTTTTCTTGGTAGTTTTCAATTTATTCTCGGTCTCTGATTAAGACACTAAAACCTTATTCAAATGAAAGAATTCGTGTTCAAGCAATAGAAATGCGCTGGTGTAAACAGCATTTTATAGTCATATCAAATTATTATACGTACTGTACATGTGACAGTTACCTTTACATTGCGCATGACAAATAAAAATGTAAATGTATTTGACACAATATACAATACAGTTCCGTTTACATTACACTTTCAGACTGCTTTGAAGGACTTTATTATATTAAAAACATTAGCTTAGATTTTTAAGTGATTGCGAAATTGTGTGCTGTAAAAAATCAATTATTCGTTTAATAAAAGAACTCTGATTAAAAGAAGTGCCAAAGACATTAAATATATTTCAAATAAATTAAATCTATTATAAAAAAAACCTGTCAATATTTCGACGCTAAAGATTAACAACAGAAAATATTTCATAATTTCCATTTGCACAAACTGACTACAAAATGATGTATACTTCGCACAAATGGCAACTATTGGTATGTAAGTAAATATTTCATTAAGCAAAACTGTTTCATTTCAACTAAAACAATCAAAAATATTTCTGATATACAAGATACTTATAGCAGCTCATCTCGTAAGAGACGCCTTTCAATTAGTGGACCCATATAAATAAAACTTAGTTTTAGATTTATGTTTTAGATTTTTAAAATTAAAAAGAATTCCATTGATTCCATTTTGCAAGTTCACTTAATAATCTAAAATATTTCTAAAATACAAATGGTGGATCCATATAAATAAGACTTTATTTTTAGAAAAAAATAACTTCCAATAAAAATGTGAATAAAAAATTAACTATTTTCTTATATACTAAATAAACTGCAAAAATTGTTTGTATAATTAATTTATATAATGATTAACTATATATAATTGGTTTCGATATTGTGTCATATTTCGATTTCAATATTTTAGTATCTTTTGCCGCCTAAATTTTTTTCCTTGATTAAAGAATATTTTTTTCAATTCTCTTATGATTTTAGCCTTCACTTATGCTGCGTTATTTCAGTCGTGGTGAATATATTATATGGAGAGCTTTCTGCTTACAAAAATTATCGTTAGAAACATCCAAAACTACCACTTTAAAATTTTTTTTGAGACACAATTCCAATAACTAATTGAAAAGTAAAGTGTTATAGAATTAATATTTTGAAATCTAACTTTATGTAAACCATTAAGCGTTGACTGTGGTTATAGGGGAAGTCCTGCTCTGAATATTGATATTAATGAAACCAATTCTCCATTCAATTTATATTTATAAAATCGGAACAATTGTACGGACGTGTACGAAAATAAAATTTTAAGCCACTTTTACCATTTTGTAAATTTGCTAACAGCTATATTGTTTTTTTTACAAGTAAACGATTTAGATTTGCTCCTTGAATACTATTTTTCGAGACCATTGGATTTGTCAGTTACTTTACTTAACACAGTTATAATAATATAGTTTATTTTTTTCAATTCTTTCCAATTCTAGAGTAATCAATTAATTTTATTTTATATATTATTATTATTATTTTATTTATTATTATTTTAATTAAATTATTTATCATTATTATTTTGTTCAAATATTTTTAACATCGATAAGATTTGTGTAGAGATTTTCTGTTTAAATTGTTAGCTGCCGTTTTTACTTAATTATATTGTTGTTAATGCTGTTAATCGAAACTTTGATTATTTACCTCTTTCCCGCTGTCTTTAGTTTTATTAGTTAAGACTTTCGATATTGCTTATTTTAATTAAAATTCAAAATACTTTTTTATCTTAATTGTGTACTACATTGATATCAATTAATACAAATTATTGTCTTAATACAAATTAATGTCTCTTAATACACTATTATTAGGTTATTATTAACATAATATAATATTATAATAAATATAATAAAAAATAATAATATATTATTAAATTGAATAATTATATAATAATATATTATAAATTATATAATGTAATTATGTAATTATGTAATTATTTTTTTTTCAAATATTTCCAATACGCACTATAATAATTTAATAATTTTTTATATATCTTTATACATGTATCATATTTATTTGTAAAATAAAATTAAAATAACGAAATAATTTTTTGTTTATAAAAGTTCTTACAAATATGTTTAAAATATCAAACACACCACACTTTGTGGTGTAATATAAACTCCCTTTTTGTTGTCAGAAGCAACACTGCTATGCTAAAAACAGCTTTTCTTATAAAAGTCACTTTTTTCTTTTTTGCTACATTTGATTCTTTGGATTGTTTTAGTATTTCATTTGTGTTTATAGCGCGTGGTTGGGCGTTTAAAAAATATTTTTTTTGTTTATATGACGTGGATGAAAATAAAAAATTTCGACTTTTAGAAAAGAAAGGAAATATATAAAAGTTAGTGTTTAATAATAAAAGTAATAAGATTAAAGCATATAGCTTTATGCACACAGCATAAAGTCGAAAAGTTCGATGCTTATATTTTTAGATCGCGGTTTTTGCAGACGCCATAATTACAACAACAAACACAAACTTTTATTAGGTATTTATTTAAATAAGTATTATATATATTGTGAGACAATAATTAATGTTGATATATTGAAAAATATTTAGTTAATATAGGACTGGTTTTTTGTTTACATTAAGCTGTTATCATTTGTGTGTGCTCATTGCACTTTTGGCATACACGCACTTGTATTTTCATGATCATTTCCTTGTTTGCCTTCTAATTTGTTATCTGTGTATGCGGCATTTAGTTTTCGTTTTTCGTAGTGGATTGCCATACGCTCTCGAAAAGTGCAAGGAATTAACCCACTTCATAAAATCTGAGTAGTTTTACTGTTTCTATATGCAATAAAAAAATATGTATTAAAATTTCTTGCCGTATACACGTTCAATATGCAGATTCAGATTAAGGTTACGTGAGATTCTATCACATTCCATTTTATGTTCTATGCTATTTTTTGTGTTCTCTCTATTCCATTTAAAATGAAACATGTTTTACAGAAAATAAATCAAATATTTATTTTTTTCAAATTAATTCTTATTACCAATTGTATTGAATCCTTACTATAAATAAAACTTTCTTCAAATAATTTAATATAAAAAAAATTGTTAAATATTTTATTAGCAAGTTTTTTAAATTGCAATTGTTGTAGGCAAACTTTCTTTCAGTATTACTTTTTATAAGTATTTTATTTGTTCAAGAAAAAGCGAAAAAAATATTGCCAAAAAAATATAACTAACCCAAAATTTTATCACATTCCAACATTCAAATAATTCGTAATGTAAATTTTGAAAGTTAAAAAACAAGAGAATTTGCAAATATTTAACCTTGCAATAAAAATGTTAGTCTTCTTTTTTTCTGTCTTTCTTTCATTGTTGTTATTTTATTTTTGGTAAAGCTTTTCTATCATTTTATACAATGCAGCACACGGCGAGAGCGCGAGCATTATATATATATATATACACACACGCACACACAACAAAAGTAAACGATCAAAACCGAGTGAAAATACAAAAACAACACAAACATAACAGTATGCCTTAAAACAAAAAGTATAATGAAGATGAGATCAATGTACGTTGTCTCTTTTTTTCATTTTTTTTTTTGTTTCTTCTGGATTTTGTATAGTGGCCTGTTTTTGTTTCTGCTTTGATATGATTATTGTGTGTGTGTGCTTTTTATTGTTTACCTCGTTACAGTTTACTGTTACTATTTAGTTAGTAAGTCACTGACTGACTGATCTGTTTAATTTATTTAGATTTCTTTTTTTTTTTTGCTTCGTATCATTTTTGTTTTTTTTTTCTCTTTATATTACAGGCATTTTTTTTCTTTGTTTAATCTATCACAAGCTATTCATCTTGAAAATTTGTTTTTGTCTTTTTTTACAGTCCAAGAAAAGCTACTATGAAAAAACAGAAAAAATGACTGATTGAATTTTTGCAATTAAAACTGAATGCACTGAGAAAAATCTAGGTCACTATAAATTATATTATATTTTAGTTAGATGAAGAGCAATAATGGGTAAAAGTGGGTAAAATGTGATCATTTTAATAATATTGTGTTTAAACATCATCTAACTCGTTCCAGAGGATTGTGATTATTTATTTAATAATATATAGATTGTCAAAAAATATAAATGTATATCCAGCCTTCTCACAATTCTAGCTACGCCATTGTGAAGTAATAATTAATCGGTATAAAAGGGAATTGAAATGTTTAATTATTAATAGATAGACCGCCAAAAAAAATGTGTATATATCTCTCCTTGACACAATCCTACCTACCTTACTGTGTAGTAATAATTAATCGAAGTAAAAACATAAATAAATTTCTTTTTTTGTATGTAGTTTTTATATCTTTAATGAAAAGTATATTTATATTTAAGTATACCAGACCTTCAGATATTCAAGTTGATTGAACTTTCGAGCATTCTGATGTTCGAGAATTCTTGTTTTTGACAATTTACCTCGAACACATCGAGTTGCGGGAAAAAATTCAAAAATGCGTCAATTCCCCAATGTGTAACCCAACTGC